CTCACAGGGAAGCTTTCTAGTGTCTTCAGCCAATCTGTACGAGGGATCAGCGCATTATGTTCCACCGATATTTGATGCTGAGCATCTCTCGGAGTCGCAAAGTCGAGTGTTGAGGTGACAACTTCCACTTCGTCATCGAAGTCAGGAAGTAGTAATTGATCTTCTTCAGCAGCGTCGTGAATCCGTGAACCCTCTATCGCGTCCTCGTTTATCTCGTCCAAAGTACTCAAGGGGTCGGAGGGCAATTGTTGCGTAATGCGAAAAGCTCCAAAAGGTCCTCTGGAGATCTGAAGGTCTGAAGATGCCTTTTCGCATTCTTCGTCAATTTGAGAAAGATGCCAACCCGCCAGTTCTGGTGGAACGTCTTGCGCAATCTGTTCGCTCAAACGCTCTCGCTCTTGGTCCGTTAACAGCGGTCTCCGAAAGCGAGCGATTCCCGTTGACGAGGGGTCATCAAAGTCGAAGAAGATGTCTTTGCTATAGCCTCCGCAATCGAGACCAGAGATGTTACACATGGAACATCCGGGACATCCTTCATCGCATTTCACACGGCGGCTGCGGCACTGCAAAGGGTCAGTTAGGAATGACGGGTTGAGTGATTGAACGTACGGTAACGCATCCTCCAAAAGATCGAGTCCGCCGTCCTGGGACCCGCTTGGCCTTTGCTGTGGACTTCCCTACAGAGGGAGGCATAGTGAAGAGAAGCTGTCTCCTCGACGAGACCTTCTTCTCAGCCGGGAATGCCCACTTGTAAAAGGGTCCCAAGATGCAGGCATCGGCACTCCCGCCGTGGTGGAGAAGTGAGATAAGGCTAATCGCTTCCCCGCCTTTCGGTTATCGGTACCAATCCCTCTCCTGGGGAAACTTTCCTTTCCCAACCAAGCGATGGATTCCTGAGTAGAGTGATGAACGATCAGCGGAGATAGAAGCCCTCCAGTTCGTATCGGTAGTTGGCTCCTGCAGGGCGCACTTTGATCTCGTGTCCTTCGGAATATCACGTTGATAAGGTTCTCCCCGCACTTCACAACGTTTCGTTACTTCATCCAAACTTGTGATTGGAGGGGGATGTTCCACTATCGAAGCCACCATCGTAAAAGGAAAGTTATATCTGGTGGCGAGACATGTCGCTTTTCACTGTGCGATAGCATGATAGGAAATTCGAGCAGACTATCCTGTTCAGGTCATTGGTCGAGAAGAAAACGTGAAGTCAACTTGGACATGACACGATCGAATCATTGCTCTTGAGATATATAGATACCGACTGGAGTTGACACTTTGCATCAAGTTGAAGCAACCAGACAATTCGATACACCGTCACTCATCGCATTATTCACACTATCAGCAATGGGTTCTGTACCTCAGTCTACCAGCACTTTTGACGTTCTCATCCTGGGCGCAGGTCTCTCCGGCCTGTGCTCACTCTACCAGCTCAAGAAGCGCTTCCCAGAATGGCGTATCAGGGTTCTTGATGCCGCCCCCGACGTTGGGGGCACTTGGTACTGGAACTCTTACCCCGGATGCCGATTTGACTCTGAATCGCTGTCCTATTGCTTCTCATTTGACAAGGAGCTTCTTGATGAGTGGCACTGGAAGGAGGCCTTTTCGCCCCAGCCAGAGACTCACAAGTACATCAGCTACTTTGCTGAGAAGCACAATCTCAAGAAAGATGTTCAGTTTAACACTACTGTTATAAAGGCTACATGGAGTGAGGCTGATCACACATGGACTTTTGTAGATGAAGCTGGTAACGAATACGTCTCCACGTTCTTCATTAGCTGCATGGGTTTCCTCTCTGCGCCCACTCTGCCCGCAATTGAAGGTATCAAAGACTTCAGCGGCAAGCTCTTTCATACTTCCCGCTGGCCCAAGGACCTCGACATCAATCGCGACTTTATGGGCAAGAAGATTGGAGTAATCGGGACAGGCGCGACGGGCATTCAAATCACAACTGCCGTCTCCAAAGTGGAGGGCGTCGAGTCTCTCAGCGTCTTCCAACGCACAGCCAATTGGTCCGCTCCTCTTCGCAACTCTGAAATCACCATTGAGCAAATGGCCGAGCACAAGAAGAACTATGACAATATCTTCAAGATTTGTGAAATGAGTTCATCTGGTTTCATGCACCATGGTGACCCCCGAAAGTCTCTTGAGGTCTCGGAAGAGGAACGCCTAGAGCTCTGGGAGAAGCTTTACAACACCCCTGGTTTTGGAAAGTGGCTGGGCGTGTTTTCTGATACGTACACCGACCGATACGCCAACAGTTTGTACTCAAACTTCATGGCTGAGAAGATCAGACAAAGAGTTAACGACCCTGCTATCGCGGAGAGCCTTATTCCCAAAGACCACGGTTTTGGCACGCGCCGAGTCCCTATGGAGAGTGGATATTTTGAAGCCTTCAACAAGCCAAACGTTCACCTTGTTGATCTTAAAAAGTCACCCATTGATCGTGTCACACCATCAGGCATCCTGACCTCCGATGGCAAGGAGCACAAGCTTGACATTCTGATCTGCGCTACTGGATTTAATGCGATTACCGGTGCCTTCAGTGCTATCGACTGGCATGGCAAGAAGAACCGACCATTGATCGCAACGAGCGACAGCCCTAAGGGCGACCAAGCAGTTTGGGTCGACCATCGACCCCGAACATTCCTGGGCATCACTGTTCCCTCGATGCCAAACATGTTCATGGTTCTCGGTCCCCATCAGCCCTTCGGTAACGCTACTCGCAACATTGAGCACGGTGTGCAAGCTATCTCAGATATGCTGCAGTACTGCAAGGACAACGGTTACACTTCTGTTGAGCCAACAGAAGACGCCGTTGAGCAATGGACCGAGCATGTGGTGAAGTGCAGTGAGAGCCAGGTTCTTATGAATGAGATTGATAGTTGGATGACAGGCGTGAACAAGAACGTCAAGGGCAAGAATGTTAGAAGTGTTGCACGATATAGTGGTAGAATTGGAGAGTATCGAAGGCGGTGCGCGGAGGTCAAGAAGTCGGGCTACAAGGGTCTTGTTTTTGCATAGATAGAGGTAATCAAAATTCATTTCACTTGCAAAAGCACTTATTCTTTTCCATGCAATAGTATTTGAGGGAGACTTTTATGCACCAATACTGCTCATATAGGGAAATCCATGCAATTGTGATCATGGTTTATATAATTGACGACTATGGCTTGGCGGGACACATCATAACAGTTATAAGGATATTTTTACTAGCATTTATGCAGCTTCCGATAATCACAGTAAGACACTACAAGTTTATACTTGACGAGCTGTCGCCAGCGCATTCTGCAACAGACGTTATCTGGAAGCATCTAACCTAGGTAACCTATAGTGCCAGTCATGGCTGGAACCGTTCAACTTGGTCAGCAGACAAGTCACGCGGTGATAATTCATCACAAATTCCCGAGATGTCTCCGTTCAAATCCACCCTCTGTCACGGAGCTGCCTTTCCATTATCATCTGCTCATCAGATTGAGGCCATCCAACGAATACGTTATCATGCATTCCCCGCATTTAAAAGAGGAAAGTTATATCTGGTGGCTGATCATGGTGGGGCTATCCAAAGATAGCGAGAACGCTCCATGTCAAACCAGGAAAGCTTCTCCAACTTAGCTTCGGATATCGGTCGCTGAATCACGGACCCGTCAAACGTGGGACAATTGGGATGGAATAGTTATAGGTGTATAAGAGCGACTCTATGCTGGACAGATAGACATCAATATCAGTCATTATTATCTCAAGCATTTGTCAAATCACCAATCCCTCATCTCTAATAATTTTATCACAATGGATGTTCCAGGTTACGCTTTGATCACAGGAGGTGCTTCAGGCATCGGCCGAGCATGCGCCAGAGCATTCGCCCGCGATGGCAGCGCCGGTATTGCACTCATAGATCTCAACGTTGAATCTCTGCAAATCGTCAAGTCCGAAATTGAAAAAGAGCAACTGTCACCCAAAAAGGACTTCAACATTGAGATCTACTCTGCAGATGTCACAGATGAGAACCGAATCAACGAAATTGTTGCAGATGTTGTGAAGAAGTATGGCCGCATCGACTATGTTGTCAATGCAGCTGGTATTGCCATGAAGCATCAAGGTGGCGCCGCCTTTGCTCATACAGCTGACTGGAATCGGGTTGTCAGCATCAACCTTACTGGAACATTCTTTGTGCTTAGAGCTACTGCACAAGTCATGTTGAAGCAAGAGCCCATTCGTTCATCTATCAACGGAAGAGAGTTGCAGCGTGGATCTATCGTCAATTTCTCTTCCATTCAAGGCGTTGTCGGTATCCCACTGTCGACATCTTACACAGCTGCCAAGCATGCCATCATCGGTCTCACACGGTCAGCCTCAGAGGACTATGCAAAAGAGGGACTTCGCATCAACGCCATCTGCCCGGGATACACAGAGACACCAATGACCACAAAGAACCCTGAGGTGCTGAAGGCTATGCAAGAGCGAATCACAACAGCTGTTCCCATGCAGAGGATGGGTGCACCCGAGGAGATTGCTGATGGTGTTTTGTATCTCTCCGGAGGAAGAAGTTCGTTTGTTACTGGGTCTGCTTTGGTTGTTGATGGTGGTTATACCCAAAGGTAATCACGAATGGGAGGACTACTAGGTTTGAGGATCGGAGTTAAGCATTGGGAGCTGGAACCTGGATATTATAGATTGAGCAGTAGGCTGATGTATCGTACGTCCTAGGCTAAGACGGTGCAGGCATCTCAGATGATAACAGATGTTGAAGCCTCTTTCTATTCCCTCGTTTTTGTTCTTATACCACAGTCAGTGAGTGCACTCTTAGTTCTTGAAGTTGAATCATGCTAAGTTCTACAGGCCTCACTCAGATATGATTACTTGACATATTTCTTGTTTTCAAGACAGCACCAGCCATAACATAACTTTATCATCTTCTCCGACAGCGATTCCCTCGTTTCATCCACTACCAATGCTCCCCTCAAGTCCATGGAGAGGATGCCAAAACTCTAACTCATTAGTCAGCGGGTTTAGCTCAGTTGGGAGAGCGTCAGACTGAAGTCAAACTTCAATCCTCACCAAATCAAGTGATATCTGAAGGTCGTGTGTTCGATCCACACAAACCGCATCAACTTATTTTTGCACTTTCTCACTAAAAACTCCCCGCAAACCATGCGACTCTTGCATCAACACTGCCACTTCCGTGAGCTTACAGGGCGGTGAGCAACCTGGCCTCAAACAACAACATATTGCGCTAGTCTTATACGAAAGCTCTGACCCTGACCGCGTGTAGTGTGTAATTGAAGCAAGAAAAACCGAGGCCTGTATTGAGAATGACTTGAGTACTTGGGCAACTTGATTTCCCTATACTAGACCTTTAGATTAGTTAATTTGGCACCGGTTTAATAGGGACTTTTCTTACTGCCTGAGTATCTAATTTTAGGGACGAGCTCAGCCAGAACCCTGTTCCCTGTTTAAGATCCTCACAGCCTCTTCATAGCGTTTCAGCCCTAGGCACCATTCTTACATCTCCTCCAGTCTTACCCTCAACACCATGTCAACAACATGAGAGCTGATTAAGGCCATCAGTGCTTCATTCTCAACCTCAAGCCAAGCGCAAGGGTTTTGTTAAAGCCAAAGCTTCAAAATGACAGAGAAACTCGATCACGATCCCAAGGTCATGTCCGTGAACGGCGAAGTATCCGCGGCGATCTACAAACCTCTTGACAATACACGGCAGGAAATTCAACTTCTCACGCTTATTCCGTCTAAAGATAAAGATGCAGATATTCATTGCAACATTTCACACGCCGTACCCAACACCCCATCTGGTAATCCAGTATACGAGGCGCTATCCTACGTTTGGGGAGAGCCTGATTTCTCGGAGCCGATAATTCTCAACGACCATACTTTCTTTATTACCCCGATTCTAAAGTACATCCTGTCGTGCCTAAGGCGAAGATATGACCAGCAACGAGTTCTTTGGGTCGATGCGATCTGCATCGATCAGTACCGAGAAGGCGTTTATCGTCTCCTCACGGACTCGCAGTGCATGCTCGGTGCTGCCTTCAGAGAACCCACACTCTGGAGATGGCTGTGGGTCATGCAGGAGCTTATTTTGGCTCCTTGGTTGACGCTCATGTCTAGAGATAGTGAGCTGAGCTGGGATGTTCTGAAGAACCTCTTCAAAGCCGAGCCATATTTCGACGCAATTCATATGGGCCGTGAGAGTAGTCATTATCACTTATACTACAAAGACTTTAGTGAAGTCTTCGTTCCAATCAAGCTATACCCTCGTCTTTGTTTGTCTAAAACTTTACAACCCTATAGCCCTGTAACCCCATAACCTTATAGCTATACTGGCCTTATTAACCCTACCCCCCTAACCCCTAATTAGTGAATTTGAAGTATTCTTTCACAGGATCGCATTTCTCTCTCCTAGTTCCTTATACAACCTTGTAAAACCCTAATATAACCCTCACGCTCATGCCGCCCTTGAAGGGTTTGGTAGGCTAAGGGATATAGGTTTATAAACCTAACTCGTGCATTGCAATGCCTTATAAGTTTAACTAGCTTATAAATAGCTTATAAGTAGGTAAATAAGGGTTAAATCTTACAGTATAGCAATATCAATAGTCTTGAAAAGTAAGTCCTTATACTGGGTAAGGTCTGGTGTTGTTAAAAGCCTTGGAGGGCCTCTAATAGGCTTATAAAGCTTCAGGGTATCGGTATATCGTTTTTCGTATTGTTGAAATGCTTTATAAGCCTTATAAGCCCCTTTAATAGTAGCTGTAGGCCAGTCCTGGGGGTTGCCATAGAGATGTTGCCGGTCTTGACGGTACTTATAAGCAGTATCTGGGTAAGGGTTGATCGTAAATTAGCGCGTAACCATGGTGATTTTGGATATAGTAATTTGTATAAAGTATTATGAAACAGTTGTTTTTTATAGAGTGACAATTCTTCGATGACAACTGATGATGTTTGGGACAAGTCTGGACACTCGTGGTTCACCTGCGCCTCGTTCTGTTACGCTCAAGCTTGATTGAACATATGGCAGGCGCTCATCTTGCTGTTACCAAGAACCAGCATAAATCGACGTCTTGGGTTACTGAATATGATAGCAAGCGTCAGCTATGTGAACCGATGCTTTTTGCCCAGCACGACATATTCAACGCTGGTATCAAGAACTGCGAGACCCCATGTCGGCTTGTCGGTCCCGGAGAAGACATTCTGGTCACAAAAGGCAACACTCTTGGAACAGCTGCACCTGTTCTCCAGGATGATAAGACCTTGAGGCTTTCGATGTCATGAACCTGTACCTTGCCCTACCTGACACTGGAGGTGACTGGCTCAGCCGCAGCGTGGGCATTTGAACACCTGCAATACCTTGATCTAAATTATCACCATCCATGCAAAGAATATTTGGGCAGAATAGTCTTGATCTGAACGATTATTTCCTGCCTCGATTCGAGCACATCATCGTGTCAAAGACCAGCTAGAGCATCTGCTTCATTTTGCTATCGCGCTGAAGATTCAGAGGTGACATCGAAATGAAGACACGCACTACTGTGAGAGGGAAAGACGCTGTTAGAAGATGAAGACAGTGCAGCAAGGGCACAAAGACGAAATCTTGACCTTATTCCTAACCCCGTAATGTTTGCCGCCTTAACCTGTCAAACAAGAGCTACAGTCGCACTCTCGTGGGGTCGTGAAAACGATCGCATTCATGGATGCAACAGTGCAGATCCGTAGGGCTGACCGCATAAGACAACCACTAAATCTCGATCACCTTAGCTCAAAACGTCCTAGACCTTCTGTCAGTTGGGGGCTATGATGTCATTGTCCAGCACACTCAGTTGACGCAGCGCTGAGAGTTCCCCTTTTCACGTGCTCAGCCTGTAGATCCTCACTCACCGGACATCATCAGCCGCTCGCCATGACCCAGCCTTCGTAATATCTGCACTTTGAAGTGAGGTGGACAGATGGGGGGCAGAAGACACTCTTGCAGGTTAAGCATGATTTCATATCGTCGATCTTCCGAACTACAGCTCGTGAACTTATCCCTGCCCAGGTTATATATATTCTACAATTGACCCAGCATCTTTCTTGTTCTATTTTCTCTCTCGTCATCAGCAACATCCTTATCGGCATAACCAATGCATTTTTGAACTACAAATATCTTTGCCAATCACTTGCGTCTCCTTGTACAATAAATTCACTATGGCAATGGTATACCATCAACCCTAGCAGTACGCTCCACCTCCGAGTCCGCCGCCGCACCATGCCATATATGGGCGCCCTCAAAGCCGGCCCATTTATCATCCATCACCCGCTCAGATGCAAGGCCGAGCTCGGTACAAAATCACTAAGCCATCTTTCCACGACCGTTATGAGTGCAAGCCTGGCAATGCACCCGACGGTCCTGCCCCATACAGCCTTGAGATCCCAAACAACCAAAAGAAACACCCAGACCTGGTCTTGAACGCTGAAGGGATCTCGATGGCTGCATTCTATTTAGCAAAGGGTTGCAAGTACTACAATAGCGACCAGAAGACATTCCGCATTGGTCTTGGTGATCCCTCAAATGTCCGGTGGACAGAGATGCTGTATCACAGAAAGGATAAACACGGCTGGACATTCACTTTCAGTCTTCCAAACGCGGGACAACCTGTTCCAATGACATGGAGAAAAGACAACAGGGTGGCTGTAGATGGTATGAAGGCTTCTCGACTAAGTGACAACAACTTCAAGCTGCTAGATCCAAATGGCCAGCTCATGGTAGTCTTTACAAGCCACACCATGAGCTTCCGTCTCAGTGCCGTTGGAACTTTACAGATCAACGTGGATCTCGGCCCCATGTTTGAGTATGCCGTCATCAAGAATTTGCTGTCTATCTACGACTTTCAGAAGCGCGAAGAGGACAGTAGATCAAGCAATACCAGCACTGTGGGTGCCGCAGCCGCCAGTAGTTCTTGTTAAGCATGGGACGTATGGAATACATCAGAATGACAAACAGAAAGACTTAGCTTCTACTACCACGCACCCTACCACGCACTGACAGAGGTTATTGGAATGCTGGTCGAGACAGCTGCAAATAAGATTCCTGATTCAGTCGTCATGGAAGCCTATTGTTATGTAAAAATTGGGAGACTTATCTTTGTTGAGGCTATGTGCATATTGCCTTCCAAAAGCTCAGCATTTATATGGCAGTAGTTGGTCAGGCATTGTGGTATAATGCCTAAGTTGTGAGCGAGATGTGTTATTTGCAGTTGATACCTGTGGCTGGGAGCTTGTGTTGCCCACACCGAACTCAGGGTTCCAAAAGCTTGAGATAGTTGGAACTTTCTATCATTTTAGCGTGATGTATGTCGTTGAGATATTATGAACTTTCAATATCAATCAGAATGCTGGTCCAATGCTTGTTATGAGCATGTAGCTTGGCCCATGTTGTGAAGTTTGTATAGACCTTGACGATATACCAGAGAGATCGAACCAAGCAACAGCTCAAGAATAATACTTTTCTCTAATACAGTTTCAGTCCCCCAAACTCTATTCTCATAATTGTGACTCATTGCCGCATAACCTGAGTTTAAGAGGCGTCAAGGACAAAGAAAGACTCTTATTGAACCTTATTCATACAAGAAGTATATAAATACCCCACTAGGTATGTTATGTCCCTCACTCTTCCTGATTCTCATTTCTTCAACATATGATTCCGCATGTCATCTTCACCCATCAATATGAACTTGGTGTCACCCATGTGTAGTCTCCCAACCGAGATACTTCTCATGGTTATGGAGTGCGGAGTCCCCTATCAGTATAAGAGCATTCGCATTCTCCTATCCCAGAGCCTTGCATCTATTCCAGAAGCATCGTCGAAACCTCTTGGACCCAGCCCTGCGAGTCTTCAATTGGATATATCCAACTAACGAGTTACTGGAAGATGCCGTTTTCGCTTGTCGGTTACGGTTAACTATGCGCAACGTGGTCTGTTTAAGTCCTCCAGAAGCGAGGCAAAAGGTCCACAAGGCAGAAAGCCATGGTCCCTCAAATCGCAGGGACTAGTACAACCTTTCTCTACTCTGTGAACTCAGCAGCCTGAACAATGAAAGGGACCAGTTTATCGCA